AACGAAAGAAAATGAACAAAAATTATGCATCATAGCTAATGAAATCATGAGTTTTAAACTACACGATTATTTGCCATTAGATCGAAACGAAAGATAATGAACAAAAATCTGGGTTATAGCTCATGAAAATTATGAATTTTGCACTCGCTTAATTATTCGTCATTTGGTGAAAATGAAAGAAAATGGACAAAAATTATGGGTTATAACTCATGAAATTGTGAATTTTAAACTCAACATAATTATCTGTTATTGGGTGGAAACTAAAAAAAATGAATAAAAATCGTAGGTTATAGCTCATAAAAATCATGAATTTTGGTCTCCGCTTAATTATTTGCTATTGGGTGAAAACGAAAGATAATGGACAAAAATCGTGGGTTATAATTCATGAAATCGTGAATTTTAAAATCTACATAATTATTTACCATTACGTCAAAAAGAAAGAAAATAGATAAAAATCATGGACTATAGATCATGAAGTCTTGAATTTTGAACTCTGCAAATAATTGGCCACTACAATGAAATTAACAAAAACGAACAAAATCATGTGCGTTACGGTTCATAAAAATTGTGGATTTTGAGCTCTGCAAACTGATTTGCTATTGGGTGGAAACAAATGCAAAAGGACAAAAGGAATGGATTATGGCACATGAAAATCGTGAATTTTGAGCTTTACATAATAAATTTATCATTGGGTCAAAACGAATGAATATAAACAAAAATTATGGGTTACAACTCATAAAAATTGTGAATATTGAAATTCGGTTAAATATTTGTCAATGAATTTAAACGAATAAAAATAGATAAAAATTAAGGGTTATAGCTCATGGAATTATGAATTTTAAACTCCGCAAAACATATTGTCCCTAAGTCGAAAGAAATAAAAATGGGCAAATTTTGTGGGTGCTCATGAAATCGTGAATTTTAAACTCCACATAATTATTTACCATTTGGTCGTAATGATAGAAAATGAACCAAAATCTTGAGTTATAGTTCATGAAAATCATGAATTTTTATTAACTCCACTTAATTATTTGCCATTGGGTGAAAACGAAAGAAAAAGGACAAATTGTGAGCTATAACTCATGAAATTGTGAATATTAAACTCTTCATAATTATTTACTGTTACGTCAAAATGAAAAAATGAACAAAAGTCATAGTTATAGCTCATGAAATCATGAATTTTATACTTAATTATTTATCATTGGGTGAAAATGAAAGAAAATGGACAATAATTATAGGGTTATAGCTCATGAAATCCTGAATTTTGAACTCCACATAGTTATTTGTCATTAGATCGAAATAAAAAAGTGAACAAAATTTGTGGCATACAGCTCATGAAAATCTTAAACTTAGCACTCTACTTAATTATTTGCATTAGGTGGAAATGAAACGAAAATGTACAAAAATCGTGAATTATAGCTCATAAAATCATGAATTTTAAACTTTGCAATATTATTTTAGCCATTTCAACAAAACAAACAAAAGCGAACAAAAGTCATAGATTATAGCTCATGATAATCGTGAATTTTAAATTCTACATAATTATTTGTCATTTAGTGGAAACAAAGGAAAATGGACAAAATGTATAGTTTATAGCTCATGAATCGTGAATTTTGGACTTCATTAAATTATCTACTATTAAGTCAAAACAATGGAAAAATAGACAAAAATCGTAAATTACAACTAGTGTAATCGTTAATGTTGAAATCCACATAAATACTTGCTATTAGATCGAAACGAATGAAAATGAACTAAAATTATAGGTCATAGCACATGAAAATTGTGAATTTTGAACTTCGGGTAAGTATTTGTCATCGGATTGAAATGAACAAAAATAGACAAAATTCATAGGTTATAATTTGTGAAATTATGAAATTTGAACACTGCAAAAATATTTTTGCCTTTAGGTCGAAACGAACTAAAATGACAAATATTTTTGCCTCAACTCATGAAATCGTGAATTTCGAACTCGACATAATTATTTGTCATTAGATCAAAACGAAAGAAAAATGAACAATAATTATGAGTTATAGCTAGTGAAAATCGTGAATTTTGCACTTTACTTAATTATTTGCCATTAGCTTAAAACGAATGCAAAAAGACAAAAATCATGGATTATAGTTTATGAAATCATGAATTGTGAACTCTACATAATTATTTGTCATAATATCGAAATGAAAAAAAAACTGAGTTACAGCTCATGAAAATGATGAATTTTGTACTCCGCTTAATTATTTGTCATTGGGTGAAAATGAAAGAAAATGGACAACGTTGTGGGGTTATAGCTTATGAAATTGTAATTTTGAACTCCACATAATTATTTGCTACTAGGTCAAAATGAAAGAAAATGAACAACCATCATACGTTGTCGGTAATGAAAATCGTTATTTTGCACTTCACTTAATTATTTGTCATTGGGTGAAAACAAAAAAATATAAAAATTATGGGTTATAGCTCATGAAATCGTGATATGAATTTTGAACTCCACAATTATTTGTCATTAGGTTAAAACCAAAGAAAATGAGCAAAAATCGCAGGTTATAACTCACAAAAATTGTGAATTTAGCACATCGCTTAATTATTTCACATTAGGTGATAATGAAAGAAAATAAATAAAAATTATAGAGTAGCTCATGAAATTGTGAATTTTAAACCTAACATAATTATTTGCCATTAGTTAATTAAGGAAAATGAATGAAAATCATAGGCCAGCTCATGAAAATCTTGAATTTTGCGCTTTTCCGCATAATTATTTTGCATTGGGTGGAAAAGAACGAAAATGAACAAAAATCGTGGGTTATAACTCATGAAATTATGTAATTATGAAATTTGAGCTCTACAATATTATTGGCCATTACAACAAAACGAACAAAATTGAATAAACATTATGGTTTATAGCTCATGAAAATCATGAATTTTTTTAACTCTGCTTAATTATTTACACTGGATGAAAACGAATGAAACAGACAAAAGGAATGGTTTATAGCTCATAAAATCGTTACTCCAAATAAAGATTTGTCATTAGGTTGAAATAAATGAAAATGAATAAAAATTATGGGCTATAGCTCATAAAAATTATGAATTTTGAACTTTGATTAATTATTTGTCATTGGATTGAAATAAACAAAAATAGACAAAAATCTTGGTTTATACGTGAAATCGTGAACTTTAAACTTTACAAATATTTTTGCCACTGGGTTGAAATGAAATAAAATGGGGGCAAAATCAAGGGCTATAGCTCATGAAATCATGAATTTTAAAATCCGTATAATTATTTGCCATTAGGTAGAAACGAAAAATATTTAAAAAAAATCGTGGATTATAGGCAATGAAAATTGTGAATTTTGCACTCCATTTAATTATTTATCATTAGGTGAAAACGAAAGATAAATAACAAACTTTATGGGTTATAGCTCATGAAATCGTGAATTTTGAACTCCGCATAATTATTGGCCATCAAGTAACAGAAAGAAAATGCGCAAAAATCGTGAATTTCGACTCTACTTAATTACTAGTGCGCACCCCATGCAAAGCACGACACCCTCTGCTACAGTAATTCTTTTTAAACGCGACAGTTTTTTGTAATGCTACAGTATTTTGTTTTGTGCTACAGTACTTCTCTGTGTTATTTACTGTAGCATAAATAATGAGTTTTCATATCCTCCTATCAGTATAAAGGAGTAGATTTGCTATTAGGTGAAAATGAAAGAAGATGGACCAAAATGAGGTTATAACTCATGACATCGTGAATTTTAAACTCCACATAATTATTAGATATAAAAATTAAAGAAAATGATAAACATATCGTGGGTTATAGCTTATAAAAATCGTTAATTTTGCAGCATGCTTAGTTAGTTGACGTTGAGTGGAAACGAACGAAAGTAGACAAAATCATGGTCTATAACTTATGAAATCATGAATTTCGCACTCTGCAATATTATTGGCCATTACACCAAAACAAAAAAAATCATGGGCTATAGCTCATGAAAATCATGAATTTTTAACTCGGCTTAATTATTAACCACTGTATGAAAATGATCGAAAACGGACAAAAGGAATGGTTTAAAGCCCATGAAATCGTGAAATTTAAAATTATCTACCATTGAGTCAAAACGAATGAAAAATAGACGAATATCGTGAATTATAGCTCATGAAATCGTTAATTTTGAACTTCACATAAATAGGTTGAAAGGAATGAATGTGAAAAGAAAAATCATAAGTTATAGCTCATGAAAATTATGAATTTCGAACTTCAGTTAATTATTTATTTTTGGATTGAAATGAACAAAAACAAACAACAAATCCCAGGTTATAGTTCGTGAAATCGTGAATTGTGAACTATACAAATATTTTTGCCACTAGGTCGAAACGAAGTAAAATTGGTTGGGTTATAGCCCATAAAATCGTGAATTTTGTGCGTTGACATAATTATTAACATTAGATTGAAAAAGAAAGAAAATGAAAAAAAAATTGTGGGTTAAAAGTTAATGAAAATTGTGAACTTTAACCCATGAAATTTTGTGCATTGACAGTCATTTGACTCGATGACAGTTATTTATGACTATTTTAAAATTTGCGATTTTCATGTGTTATAACCCACAGTCCCCGTTCATTGATTAAATCGAATGGACATGGACTTATAATGACTACTTAAAAATCCTCGGTTCCTTATTTTTCATAGATCTATCTAAACTATAGTTCTCAGCAATAATAATGATTGGAAAAAGAGGATATTTTTAGCCATGGCTGAAGCTAGCACATATATCAATTATCTTCTCATAAATCACAAAACTTAAATGTCTACATCTTGAACTGCACTCTGTTTCGAACAACATATACATCATACAGCTTTTTTCAGTGAAAGTCCAGCGCAGACTCTAAATGGCCTTATCTACCGCGCTTGAATACAGTTTTTCCTGTATTTCATATTTCCCACATTTTCCCTGTACTATTCTAGATTTTAGATGTTGTAAATTTAATCGATCCAATTTATGCTGCAGATTCGACTTGCAGAGGCACAACTAAAAGGCGACCAACAAAACATGAAGCCAGAACAATTAGAGAAGCTGTCTAAAATTGAAGGATGGTGCAAGGAGCTTAAAGCTTTGGAAGATAAAAAGGCGAATAAGGTTTCCTGATACTCTCAAATAACCAGAAGCTTGATCTCAACTTGTTGTGAGCGCGTATCCTGTTCCTATGAAATGTTCCAGTTTGCCCGTGCTTGACCTTTAGCGATGCATTTAATGTTTTAGGACATGGGTCAATTTTCTGGAGTTCGGTAACACTTCAAATAGGATTATGTATCTTTTAGGGGGTCTGATTTGGGTGACTTGTGCAAATTTGAACTGAATTTATTTTCGTTTCTCTAGTTGAGGGTGCAAGTTTTGCACTGCACGTTGCTTTCAGGCACTTACCACCACTTTCCTCTGTATTTAGCGTCTGTCTGTCATTGTTGGCAAACTTTTTGTAAGCTAAGTATGGAATCTTTGTTCGTGTTATCGACGCGAAGGATGTATTTATATGCCAAATTTTCGTGTCGTATCGTTTATCTAGGTTTTGTAGTACACTAGAGATACATTGTTATATACAGTTTTCTATTAAGATGAACTTCGATTCGGAGGTCATTGAAATTTTGACCTCTTTAATCATCATGTATGGTGCCTAAATATTTCATGATGTGTAATGCACAGATGAAACAGTGTAATAGACCAGTTTTTTGGTACCCCTGGTCTTTTATAATTTTCAGGAAATAATATTAAAAGAAATACAAATTTGAGAACATCATAACAATAAAAGAAATTGATTGGAATCAAGCCTTAAGCTTCTCGCAGCAGCCCATCAATCCTCCGCGGCGCTTCCATGCCGATGAAATTCGACTAATTACATGCCTCAGTCGCCACTGGAGTGAACATAAAGGAAAACATTTATGAAGAAAATCTAATCCAAATATGTTTCTTTTTCCCCCCCAAAAAAAACCCCTTCATTTTATTTGAAAATTTATATGTAGCGCAAAATCTTCTTTAAAAAAAAAAAACAGTGCAGACTTCACCTACATTTCTTAAACATGAACAACAAGAGCTCATCTTGATTGTCCTCTGTCGATGTTCCGTTTCAATTTGATGGTATCCTCGTCTTCTTCTTCTAAATACTGTTTGTATCCAAGCTCGGGCTTTCCATCGGAAGCCTCTCTTCTTCTGAAACACATTCCAATTTTATGATAAAAAAAATAAATTCATTTTTCTTTACAAGCTTAAAATGCTTCAATTAGCACTTTTATCTCTCTTTTTATCATTTTGCAATGCAAAAATAAGGTTATACAATTGAGGGTTAATCACGGGTGAACCTTCTGCACTATGAGAGCATATTTTATTTATCGGTTTTTCTATAGGGTGCCCATGGACACTCTATAAGAGAGGAGAGAGATAAAGAGAAATAAATAGCTCATGGGCCCCTCTGATTTCTATTAATTTCTGTGCATAATTCATTTCTCTCTATCTCTCTCCTCTCTTATAAAGTGTCCATTGGCATTCTATAGAAAAACCGTTTATTTATTTATCAGACCTCCTATTTTGTTAGCAAACGCACCTGATCATTGTGATGATGTCATTTTAATTAGTTTTCAAAATCTTGTGGCAATCTGTGTGGAAATTAATGTTGCTGACAAATGTCTAACCCTTATATTGTATGGCTCAGATATATTTAAATACTAACGGGAAAAAAAAAATCATAGTCATTTCATACAACCTATTATGTAACCAATCATGAACCAGAATAAAATTTGGCACAAATCGAGCGTCGTCGTTTCAAAGAAGATAGATATCTTTATACCATTTCCTCAATCAAAACCATCTGCTTATATTTATTTAGACAATTACGGTCCATCTCAAACCTAACACTTACCGTGATAAGAGAATTCCACCGTTAAAATACCAAAAAAAAAAAAAATGTGTATCTACATCCCATGAGAGAGCTTAACAAAGATTCATTAGGCTAAGCTTACATAATTCTGCTCCTTGTAAGTGGACTTCCACCTCTTCCACTGTTGTGACTGCACCTTTCTGATCGCTAGGCCCGCTTAGCTGCTGGGAGAGTAATGCCAGAAGGCATCCCGGCGGAGAGCTCTCCTCGTACACGGTGACGAGCACATTGCTCTTGTTTTCCATTTGAATTAACCCTTTTTTTTTTTTTTTGGTTTTGAGTCAGAATTAGTAGGATGAGTGAAGTTTGATCCTTATATTGTGGGGGTCTGAACATTGTTTTGAGGTTTGTGGTGATTGGACTCATTCAAGGTGTCCCTAATTATACGGAACTTTTTTTTATCCTAATTATACATAATTAATGTATATCATTGTCTATGGACGTACGTTACTACTGATATATCGCAGTACATGATAGACGCATACATAGGTTGAACACGCATGCGTGTACTGTATTCAACCGTGTAATAATCAAAATCGTTTGGCAAAGGGTTAAGTGAGGGGTTAAGGAAACTTAACCCTTTCTTAACCCGCCAAACACAAAGAATATTCTTAGAAAAGCAGAACCAAATAGCAGTTTTGAAATTCCATAATATCAAAAAACTTATTTTTGGCTCTAAAACTACAGAATTCCTAAAACTTTAGCCGAACCGAACAGCCACTAAAAGTATAGATGACAATGATTATCGGCAATTTTACATTATAGTTTTTTTTTTGGGGGGGGTGAGCTCTGGGTGTCAAAGTAGTAATTCCGAATTATTTACCATTTTAACTGTAATCCCTGAAAATTTTCTTTTCCCCAGAAGTACCCCCAAAGTCTACTTTATTTTCACGTCGATACCACAAAACTCTTTTTGCCCAAAAATTACTTCAGAGCCCAATACATCCTAACTTTGATACTCGAAGTTCCAACAAAATGAAGTTTAACAAATTAAACCTACATTGGGGGTGAAATCGTCAGATAGTAGTTTTTGGATGGACAATCGAATGGAAAAGAACATAAATGGTGGTGATATGTTAATAGAATAGTAGATAGGGGTGATTTTGTAAACAGTCAGGTCCAGCGCTGTTTGAGTGGTGGGGCCCAAGGATATTAATAGAGAAAGACCCTCTTAAATAAAGTCGATTCCCTTCACCCTCGCCTCCTCTTTCCCCAAATAAACGCAACTCGCACAAACAAACAGCTCGAATCAAATCCAAAATGGCGAACCGGAACAACCAAGGATGGGAATTCCGATCGGGATCGGGCCAAACCGGAGGCTGGAACTACGCGTGGCAGCACGGTTCCTCGCCCGGCGGGCTCTCTTCTCGGGTGTCGCGATTATCGGGTCCAACGCTCAACCCAGTAGCAACCCCGGCGAGGCGGCGGCGGCGGCGGAGGAGGAGGAGGAGGAGGAGGAAGGGGCGGGGTTCGGATACTGCATACGGCGGCGGCGGCGGCGGCTGGAATTTCGGTTCGGCCCTCTGGAGGGTTCGGTATGGGCCCGGCCCATGTGGGTACGGGGGTTTTGGCAGTGGCGGCGGAGTTCGGACCGCGGGTTTGGGCCGATGCCGGCAGACCGGCAGGCAACAACAACAACAACAATATGTGAGACGTGACTTATTGTACTAAACGTATGTACGGTGGTGGTGATGGAGTTTATATTGTATTATGTATTTGTGTTAAGTGTGTTGCTGTATAAGATCGTATATACATAATAATAATGGTAGTTTATGTAATCATATATACATAATAATAATGATAGTTTATGTAATCCATGTTCAAAACTTATACAAGCTTCAAAAAAAATTCTGTCAATTTTATGATTAAAACTCTAAGGCTTTTTTTCTTTTTGGTACGCCGCTTCTACTAGTTTGGTTTTTTTTTTAATTTAGCATTTTTTGGATTAAGATTATCTACGGTTGGAATGGTACATATCACCCAAAAAAAATTCTTTTCTTTTCTTTTCTTTTTCAAGGTAGGGTCCTTGCCTTTTTACATCAATTCATTCCCGAAAAATAATAAACATTTATCCCACGAGGAATGTCACTGGTTCGAGATCCTCTAACATAATGTCACAGACTTTTCTCTGGAAAAAAATCAAAAATAAAATTACATCACCACCACATATATGTAAGTTAATGACCAAAGAATATATATGCCTTTTTTTTTTCCCTCCACAGGATTCATATCCATACAAATACAACCAACCAATCAAATTTCAGTTGTTGTTTTTTCCCACCAATTATGGCAATTTCTCTTATGGCTTCTCTCACCTCTCCCCTTCCTCCATCTTCTCCCCTCTCTTCTGACAAAACCCATAGAAATCCTAACCTCGTTGCTTCAAATTCTCCATCTTGCTCTGTTCAACTCCCCTTCGACTCGAAGCCCAAGAGCCCAATTGAGCTCTCTAACCCATTAGCTGTCCCGAAATGGAGGACAAAGGTCTCATTCTTTCCTTCATTCCTCAAGAAGAAAGGGAAGAGCAAGGATGAAATCAAGCAGGAGCTTTTCGAGGCAATTGCGCCTCTCGATCGAGGAGCCGAGGCAACCATTGAGGACCAAGAAAGAATTGAGCAGGTATTATAATGTGCCCAGGTATTTTTGTTAAGATATTATGTAGTAACCGTGCAGTGCTGTTTAGTGTTGAAATTGTAGTTGGTGTGATTGTGGTTATCAAGTGCAGAGTATCCCAATACATCACCTGATGAGCAAGTTTCAACTTCAGTTTTCTGTAATTTGTCTGATTATGAAAGACGAGTGAAAATTCCCTGTAAACATGAAAGCAATAAGAGACATAAAAAAAAAATCTTTGCGTAATTTCATAACAAGTTTTCAGTAGTAATTAATAGTTTTCTTTTTTACGTATCTAACCTTCTATGAATGGTTTCAAATGAATAGATTGTGCGTGAACTAGAAGCTGCCAATTCGATCAAGGAACCGCTGAAATCAGATTTGCTCAATGGAAAATGGGAGCTTATATATACAACTTCTAGCTCAATTTTGCAGAGCAAGGTAGCATTTTCTTCTCAAGACCCTCATAAGCTTTACATTATCAGGTGAATATAATGTATGGAGTACAAATTTGTCATGGGCGCCTTTTTTCGTATCATATATCGTGGTCTTCTTCGGTCTTCTTCGGTCTTCTTCAGTCGGAGTTCTATTGTACAGATTCTAATAGATAATTGATTCGATTTATATGGACATCACTTTGTTTCTCATTAATGATTTAAGTTCTATGGAAATACCTTTGCAAAGATTCTTCACTAGGTAAATGATCCTAACAGACACTTCTTCTTGTATTAGTTTTTAAGAGTGTTCCATATTATGAACGCAATATTCTTCATTATCTATTATATGTTACTTTGCATGTGGTATGTTCTTATGCAAATTTCGGCCAAATTCTCTTAGGGGATAAGCCAAATATATATATGTGCAAGTGCCGATCAGTTGGTCATTATAGCTCGATAATAACTAATTATACAGAACTACTGATATGAAAATGTCTAATTGCTCCATAACATGATAAATAGTCATAGTCTTAAGACTGTTAACAGTACAAATGAAACTCTTATTACTTTTTTTTTTAATTACTGTTGCAGAGACCGAAAATTTTGCGACCCAGTGGAAAGATATATCAGGCCATCAATGCTGATACTTTAAGAGCTCAAAATATGGAAACTTGGCCTTATTTTAATCAGGTACCTCTTTTTTTGCGTTTCCATTATCGACGCAGACTTGAAGAAACCTGAAACAAGACATGCCCTGTTCTTTTTTGCCTTAGTCAGTGTTTTCTCTTTGAAATAGCTTATGCAAACTGTGCACCAATTTCAGCTGATGTTGTGAGTTAATTGTTCTTAGAGAACATAAATAATATGTTGTTCATAGTTTTCTTCTATCATGTTATTTGAAACCATACTGAGACAAATGGACAGCGCACAAAGCTGAAAACAAATGTGCTTGCCAACAAACAAAAGTAAAACTTTTGCCAGTAATAATCAAAATCAAATTCCGACATATATACCCCTGAATGGGCAGAGGAAGAAAGGACCAAAGAGAAGGGAATTTTGTTGTATCTATTCAATTTTAAATTATTATTGTTTCATAAATGTGTCTAAGAACAATCTTAGTGCTACCTGCATTACAGTAATGTTTGCTAATATCATTTGACTTTCTGTCCATACAAAGAAAAGTTTTTTCCCCCTTCCTGTTTGGTTATTTGTATTTACATCAGTCTACATTAGTATCTTATGACGAATATCAGCCAAAATTCTCTATCGGGATTTCCATTGATTAAAGCACGCAGGTATTCATGGAGGAAAAAAAGTAGGAAGAAGAACCTTAAATTGTAATGGCACAAATAAGTTAGATGTTTGCATGACACCAGAGAAATTGGATCTTTAAGTTTATAGTCTAAATTGTAATGGTAGAAATAACTTAATATTAACAGTAATTTCTTATCACGCATGATTTTCTCTGAAATTTTCCTTCAAATTCAAAGGTTGCACTTGTAGGTAACAGCTGATCTCACCCCTCTCAATCCAAGAAAGGTGGCTGTCAAGTTCGATACCTTCAAAATTCTTGGTCTGGTGAGTGATAATTTTCCTCATAATTTAAGTATATTTACATTTGAGCACTCAGTAGCTATTAATACAGATCATTTTCTTTCCTTTACATCTTTTGTGTTTTTATTTTTATTATGTTTTTTGTGATATAATAAGGCCAAAGTCAAGTCCTGAAAAAAGAACTTACCTCTTTGTGCTTCGATAATATTCGAACAGATACCTATAAAGGCACCTGATACCGCTCGTGGTGAATTGGAAATCACTTACTTAGACGAGGAGATCCGGTAAGTCACTTCCCCAATATTATGTAATGTTTTCCTGTGGTGATAAACTTTTGACTGCGAGTATTGAAAAGAAAAGAAATACTTGTTCATTTTACTTGTGCCATAATTTAGTTTGATTAAAGTCGTCGCACTATATCTATACTATATATTTAAGAAAAGCCAGTTTTTTAGTTCGTGTGTCAATTTTTTCAGAAACATCAAAAATACACTCACGCTTCGCAAAATCAAAAGAAACGCATTCAAACTTGCAAAAGATAACTAAAATGCCTAATTTGAGAATCAACACAAATGCTATCACTCTTCCAAAAACCATTCCGAAATGCGCTCACATTTTTTTTTTTTGTTATGCACGTATCGCGTGCCCTGGAGTACTAGTATGTGTATTATATAAAGAATGAAACATCAATTTAAGACTAGAAAGACAATATATCTCTTTACTGACGGTATCATCTACCAAATTTTAGGAAATTATTTCATAGCTAAGTTCTGAACCTATAATGAAATATCTTAACATATTCATGGATACAAAACAAAAACCAGCATTTTCACCGTTAAAGTGGAAATAATTAGTCTGTAAGTGACATATCTTTTATTTGACAGTTTTGTTCATTTATCGTAACATCGTGACCACAATTTACTTTTGTAAAATCATATATAATTCTATTAACTACTAATGCTTAAATTAAATGCATCAAGTATATATTTCGCTGATCCCCGATATTTCCGTTTTTTTTTTTTTTTTTTTTTTTTTTGCTTTTTTTGTTATACGACGAAATTAATGTGTTTACAGGATTTCAAGGGGAGACAAGGGAAACTTGTTCATACTGAAGATGGCTGATCCGTCATACAGGGTTCCATTATGAAATATTCCATTATATTATCCTGAAATCAGCATGCATTAACCTTGGGAAATGACTGCAAAATCGATTTAATTCATTTTGCATGAATTCTGTTGTTCAGCAATTGTAATGAACTCCAGAAGCTGGCAAGTGATGGAATGAAATTTGCGTACATATATTACCCATTTGAGGGTGCTTGTGGGTTGTGGCAAGAATAGGATTAGGAATCCCATATTTTTTTATGGATTCCTAGCTAATCCATAAAAAAATTTAAGACAATTTTATGTTGTCATGGAATCCCTTTTTTTCATTTCTATGTTTGTTTCATAATATGAAAAAATAGAATCCAACTTTATAGAAACCCTCCAATTCCTATTCTTTAGTTTGGTTTGGAATGAGAATAAGATTTGGTCTCATAATAATATAGGGTTTGTGAAGAAACGGAATCCGAAAAAAAAAAGAAAAGGTGAATAGTACAAATGTGTCAGCTTTCTGCCCCAAATCCGTCCAAATCATTAGGATTTGGGTTTCTATAAAAGCAGCATACTTTTTTAACTTTATAGATTCCGAAATCTATAAATTTTTGGGGAACAAAACTCAATGATAAGATTCATAAAGAATCCTTTATTTACAATCTTGTTATTACCAGACCCAAATCCTATTACTTTTCCGTAAAAATGGTGAAACAAACAGTCCCAAAAGAGTAGATGATTATTGAGAATTTTATAGTCAAGAGATGCCGGGTCAAAATCATATCTATTTTGGGAAAAGTGATTCGGATTTGTTGTCACGTCAACAATTATTCGAAGTGCTCTTCTCTGAGGCCCCGTTTGGCAAAGGGTTAATGAAGAGGGGTTAAAGAGAAGGATTAATATACTTAGCCCATTTGATAATCCGAAGGACTAAATTATTAACCCGTTAAATAAGTTTTATTTTAGCCCTTATGATCAGTTTTAGTGTTTGGGAATAACAATGATTTTGACTATTTTCTTTATAATTAGAAGGGTTAACTCTTATTCCATCTAAATAGGAGTATTAGTAAACCCCTCATTTTGAGGGGTTAACTCATTTTAACCCCTCTAGAGGGGTTAACTTAACTCTTCTATATTTTTTATGTTTGGCAAATTATGAAGGGTTAACTCACTTTAACCCTTATATAGATTTGTTGTGTTTGGCAGATTAAGAAGGGGTTAAGTCTCCTTAACCCCTCTCTTAACCCTTTGCCAAACGGTACCTGAAGGATTTAAAAATAAAGTTCGGGAAGAAAATAAAGATGATTTCATTATAAACCCAAGGTTAATTGCACACAAACCCTCTTTGCAGTATCGTCGTTGCGAACCGACTGCTGTTGTAGTTTCATTTTTGCAGATAGACCCCCAGGGCGAAACTTTTTCACTATTTCGTTGTCAAATGAACTCACTGATTTCACCGAGTGGCGACGTTTGCGGAAACTTCACCTGGGTAAAGTAGTTGAGAAAATTTCACTCGTCGGGCGTCTCTCTGCCAAAATGAAACTACATGGTTGTAATGTCAAAATTGTGATGCCGCAGGGGTCTTACTGCACTTTAACCTTAATTCTTAAATACCCATTTTCTCATCAATGCGCCCTCTTCATTTACACCGTCACGAGTCTAGCGAACAGCCCTCCTGCACAAGCAAGAACTGAACAACTGCTTGTCAAAGGAACTGTACTTGCCGTCGTCAGATCTAGGGTTCGTGAAGAGGCAGGATCCGAAAAGCAAAGAGAAAAGGAGGAGATATGGTTGTGTGAACTTTTTGCCCCAATTCCTCCCAGATCAATAGGATTTGGGTCTCCACAAAAACACCATACTTTTACAACTTTATAGATTTCGAAATCTATGATTTTTTATGAATCACACTCAGGATTAGGATTAATAAAGAATCTTTTTTTTACGGTTTTGCCCCTGTCAGATTCAACTCCTATTCTTTTTCCATAAAAAGTGTGAAACAAAACACCCCCTTAACCTTAATTCTAAAATACCCATTTTCCATGAACAAAATTTCAAAACAGCCTCAAATAAGTTTTTAATTTTCAAAACCGACCTACTTTTTTTACCAAAATCTACTCACTTTTTACCACGTCAGCTTAATCTCATTTCCTAATTAGTCGGGGTTGCCAACCCCGACTATTTAGGACATAAAAGTCGGGTTTAAGACTTCTAAATAGGGTTTAATAACCTCCTAAACAGTCGGGGTTGCCATCCCCGACTGTTTAGGAATGAGATTAAGCTGATATGGTAAAAAGTGGGTCGATTTTGATAAAAAAAAATGGGTCGGTTTTAAAAAATAAAAACTGATTTGAGGCTGTTTTGAAAATTTGTTGATCTTCTCATCAATGCCTCCTCTTCATTTACACCGTCACGAGTCTATAGCGAACAGCCCTCCTGCACAGGCGAGAAGAACTGAACAACTGCTTGTCAAAGGAACCGTACTTCGTGCCAATGCAGCAAAGAGTAGTCACAAAATCACGACACTATGAAGAGACAACATGCGGTGACCGGCAGCTGTCGGTGGTTGACCGGCAGCAGCGCAGCAGAACCATCAGCATGCGTATGTTTCTACGGACCGCCCTCATTGTCATTGAATAGTGTGTCTCCATCGTCTTGTAAAAGTCCTTGTTTGATTCCAGGTTGAATTGGGCCACGCAGCTCTCATATACATCCAACAGCCCATATGCAATGTGGGCTCTAGGATTTCGGGTGGACCTTGATCAGATTGCCAGTTGAATTGTCATACTTAGAGCATGTTCGACAACGGGTCAAAATGATTTAGAGGGTGTCTGGGGATGCTTTTTTTTATTTTATTTTTGGTCAAACTAGTTTTTAAGTTAGCTTTTTCTTTTTCACTATAAGTTGGGTTTTTCTTTTCTACATGTTTGGTAAAACAATAAATAAGTTAGCTTACAAGTGTCATTTTCAAAAGTTGGTGTACCCCAACTTTTGAAAAACTAGCTTATAAGCTCACTTATATAAGTTAGATTTGACCAAATAAATTACATTTCCACCCAAATAATTTTTATAATATTTTTATCATAAAAGCTAAAAACAACTAAAAGCCAACGTAACTTATAAGCTTTAAAAAATAAGCATTCCCAAACACCCTCTTATAAGCCACTATTGTGGCTTATAAGCCAATTTTAGATATTTTGTAAGTAGCTTACTTTGACTTATAAGCCACTCTCAGATATTTCGTTAGTAGCTTATTTTGGCTTGTAAGCCACCCATACATAAACTAAGGTACCCTAACTTATTTTTCGATGGCTTGTAGGCCCTGAGGTTTGATCGAATAAAAGACAAGTGCACCCCTTACGATTTCATAAAATTCCATGTCTCATCTGATAACTCACCATCAACTCCATGTCTTTTTGATCATTTTGACAACAATGATGGATTATAATCCGTATTGACTAAGCACTATTTTTGTAAATGATCTATAATCCACTAAATCACTAGACACTCTGGATTATAATCCACTTGGGTTATAATCCAAGTGCACTATAAATTCAAAGTTTCCAAACATGCTCCGACATGGTGTCAAATAGTTCACAATCGTCAGATACTATAAAGAAGGCCAACATTTTTGTGTGAGAGATTAAATAAACCTGTCCTTCACTCGTGAGAAGAATATAATGAATCTTAAACTGTAGAACGTGAAAGCAACTATCAACATGTGATCTGATCCTAAAAGATTTGATGGTAGCTGTGTTATGATTCGAGCGGTGCTTATTGAGTCGCTTACTTCCATGTGATAGTTTTAACTTCTCAAGTGAGCCGAGCTTCCAAACATGATGAGAGTAATTTTTAACCCAAAAGTTGTGTTTGGCAATCTTTCAAAACTAGGACTGGTTCAAACATGACCCAGTTTTGAAAGATTTTTTATTCGGCAAATAATAGTGCTAGATTATGCCTTGTTTTCATTGGCCAAATATGGCCTCTAAACCGGTTTTCTTTTGGACCAAGGAGAGGCTGGTCCAAAAGAAAGCTGGTTCAGCACAAAAATTGGGCTAAGACTGGGCCTGACCCAATTTTGTGTAGTTTGACCAACACACTCAAAGGAAACGAGAGATAATTTAGTTACGTAATACAGTGATATGAGATAACTTGTCTTGTGGGTTTAAAAGAAAGTATTCAATGATCCTATATTAATTAACCTCCAACAAGGGATGACTGTCATGAGATTATTTGACATTTGGATTTGTAAATTTGGACTCACAGAGCAGTATTTTTTGAATCCGCTTCAAGAATCGCTGACCAATAAAATTTAAACATACATTTTGCTCTAGTACCATATTAAAGTCTTTGTCACTAATGTCAAAACTCCGAAGCTATGGTGATAGGTTATAATCTTTGTAGTCTAATCGTTAAAATTAACACGTAAGCCCCTCCCATATCTCAACTAATCTAATAACTTTCTCCTCATCTTTATATTTTGCGTTAAATTCTAGAAATGGGTACGAAAGAAAAGCTCTCCCCATCAAATTAATTCAA